GAGAGGGTGGAGAACCTGGGTCGCCCGCCAAGAGGACTTCAGCCTCCGTACGTCAGACTGTAAATGTTAATGTTTGAAGCCGGTTAGACGTCACCCGTCAGTTCCTGCAGGGGGCGCTGGAGTCCCATCGATGGCGGTCTCCATGCTGGAAATGCTGTCTCAGTCTAACTTCAGTCAACCTAACGACAGGCTGAGAGCTGGAGCTGAGGCGGGTTTTAAACCTCCTACAAACCGTTACACCGCGCCCACCTGTCAATCAGGTCAGCTACACGCCTTATTGTGAATAACTCTTATCCTTCATCAAATCAAAACTGATGAGTCATCAAAACATTCACCCCCCCCGTACAGTGTGTGTCCATCCAGACATGAGCTAGTCACACCTATTTGGTTTTTTGAACCAGGCTGTAAACATGTTAATCTCTACTGTAAAAACAGGCTTTTTAGAATGGGTGTGTATGTGACTTCCTGTGCTTCTGCAGCCAGCCTCTAGTGGACAGTTGAGGAACTGCAGGATTTTGCACTTCAGCATCGGCTCATTAACCATCAGGCCAATCGGCGCCTCAGTACTTGTTGGTTCTATCAATCATTAAATAACGGCAATCGTGTTGTTTTAAAAACCTGTGGTATCAAACTGAATCCAAGTTTTGACATTTTCACAAGCCGAGTATCTTCTGATTATTTTCTATAAACAAACTTACTTCCTGTCCCCCTGTTGGAAACACTTCTCCGTTAAAACAGTGAGGTGATATTAATTGTTGTGGGTCTGATATCTGGTGTGGTAGTGACACAGCAGATTTGAGCTCTCAGAGCGCGGCGTCCCTCAGGGAGCTCAGCTGGTGCCCCTCTTTAGTTCAGCGCCCTCTGTCTCTCCAGGCTCGTAATCCTTCAACGGTGCTGCCGCGGCCTCGTCTGTCCATCAGCTGTCTCTTCATTTAACGTGTTTGATTGATAATCCACGCTGACGATATGTTCTCTGAGTCGTATGGTGCTCGTCACTCTGCTGGAGATGCAGATGTTCTCTCAGCGGGCTCTGCTGACGCTGCACGCTGCATTCTTCACGGCTTTGAGCGGCGACTGTGACAAATCACATCAGGAACTCTGACATGCTCCGAGTGTGACTGTGATTTGTGTCGTTTCTTCTGCCGGGTTCCTCGCAGGGTCACTGATGAGAGGAGAGATACGAGCACATGCCTCCGGTCTCTGTTAGATTAAAAACATCAAACGGGGAGGTCAGCCAGGTGCCGCTTTCTTAACTTCTCTTCTCTTTCTTCCACAGTTGAAACTTGAAGACCGATCGATAGTCATCAGAGACATCGTGCGACGAAAGAATTCCAACGTAAGTGAATCCTTGATACAAACGTCTTCCTTCCCTTCTCTCCTCCTGTCCTCTCATTTCTGACTTCATGATTTAAACCGCTCATGTTCGCTGCATCAGACCCGACAGGACTGTCACCACAGGTCGACACTTCAAAGGGCAGCGTTGAAGAAACAAACCTTAAGACTCAGACTGTATGGAATCATATTTGTGCCAAAATAAATCAAACAAAACTTCTTAAATTGCAAACAAAAATAAGACTTTGAGAGAGATATAATCTCACTCAATCTTTTCTTATCATCAGTCCTTTTGTTTACAGTTCCCTCATTTTCTTTCTCACTGATCAGACTTTTGCTCTCTGTCAGCTTTCTTGTTTGCGCTGCCTGACTTTTTGTTTGCGATTCTGGCACAAACCTCTCGAGTGGGTGGGCTTTCTGTCGTTCCCGACTCGAGGCCGCTTGGAATCGTTTCTCTTCCCCGAATATTTTTGTAGAGTGAGTCGTATAAAGATCCGATCTTAACGTCCCCTTACGTCTGCTCGGAGATCGACAGGGACGCCCCGATATATATATATATATTTTATAATATTTAAAATCTTAACGGTTACGTCGTGAACGGGTCTGGAGGAAGTCGTGTCTTACTACAATAACCACGAGAGACGAGGGAGGAATAAGTGGATACTAGAGACAGACTCCTTGTATGTGTAAATCTACTTCTGATTCTGTGAGCAGTGGCGACTGGCGGCATGGCGTGATCCACACGGGCGTTAATTCATCTGACAGTTTCAATCTGACCTCCAGCTCCTAACTGGAGATCAGATGATCCCGGACATTTCTACATCCAAAACCAAAGAATTTTAATCACAAATGTAACCGTCGGCTCCGTTTACGTGAGGTCACATAAGGCGATGCGTTCCTCCACCCTGTAGTCTGTGATGTCGCACTATTTTGATATCTGGTTCAGCGTGTTGAGATCATGGAGAAGAAGATCTGTTAAGCTTCTCTTGTGTGTTTGTGATACGACCAGATTTGAAAACAGGGAAGCATTTTAAAACCGTCATCTGAGCCGGTCTTTACCTCTCAGGAGATTTATTTTGTTGTGAAACTTGAGTGTTGTCTCGTTGTTCATAAACTGATAAACAAGTCTTTACAGTGATGAACAGACTGAGACATGAAATCTGATGAAACGCTAAACCTCCATGTGTCACATTACAGGACAACCAGTGTGGCATCGTCACCAACATCGACATCGAGTGTGCGGTGAAACTGGTGGGAACAAACTGCGTTCTGTATCCAGTGAACAGCAGAGACCTGCAGCACATCTGGGTAAGAGATCAAAACCTCTTCATGAATCCCTCTGAAAGTGTTTGGAGAACAGAGATAAACTCAGGGTTACTCATGAAAGAAATATCTGAACATCTGTTTGAATGTACAGATGTTCAGATGTAACAGTCCACAGTCGTCACTAAACTTAAAGTAAACGTTTTGGGGAAAAGGAGACTTTCAGCCTGTCGGGGTCGCCGCCATCGACCTGTCCGTGGTGCTGAACAGGAAGTCACTGAAACACAGAGAAAACCTCGTTACAAAGAGGCTCTTTCACCTTTACCTTCATCTTCTTCATCATCATCACCTTCATCTTCATCATGGTGTCTGAATGAATAAATGTATCAAATCTCAAAGTTTTCTGTCGTGTTTCCAGTCCTTCATGTACGGCGACTACATCGCCTACGACTTCTGGCTGGGGAAAGTTTACGACCTGACCAATCACATCATACTCAAGCTCTCCAACGGAGCCAGGTAGACGCTGTAATCTCACACACACACACACACACACACACACACACACACACACACACACACACACACACACACACACACACACACACACACACACACACACACACAACACCACAGTCTGTCTGTCTGTCTTCTGCACACTTTCTCACTCTCCCTCTCTCTCTCTCTCTCTCTCTCTCTCTCTCTCTCTCTCTCTCTCTCTCTCTCCCTCTCTCTCTCTCTCTTTCTAACTTTCTCTCTCTCTCTCTCTCTCTCTCTCTCTCTCTCTCGCCCTCTCTCTCTCTCTCTCTCTTTCTAACTTTCTCTCTCTCTCCCTGCAGGTGCTCCATGAGCGTGGAGGACGGTGCCAAGCTTTACGACGTCTGCCCACATGTCAGTGATTCGGTAAGTAACCAGCAGCTCTCTTTCTTTCTCTTTTTTTACTTGCTGTCACCTCGGGTTCACCCACGCTGAACGGGACAGCTGTTAGTCGGGGGTCAGAGCCTCTAACACGGGCTCATGTATTTTAGCTGGTGTTTGTCGATGGAGACTACAAACACCATCTGCTTGCTCCCTCTCTGTCACATGTGTGGAGTATTGGAGGGGTATCTAAAGCGGTTACAGGAGCAATATGTAACTCTGACACCTAGTGGTTAAAGTGGGTACTGCAGTCTAAATTCTAAACATTATAGAGAGCTGTCTCCCCCCCCTCCTCTCTAGAGTGGATGCTCACTCAGGTCACCATGTGGTGGACTCTGAAGCTTCAGTGTTTATCCAGCTCTGCATGGGTCTGTAAACCTTTCTGTGTTCTAACCTCTCTCCATTTTTCAAAAGCATCTCCAATATTGATCCTAGTTTGAGCACGTTTCTGCTCGTGGAGCTTATTAGAAACATGCAGAGGCTTTTAGTCGGTACAATCACTTCTATCTGAACCACTTCTCTTGACCGCTTCCATCGCTGCAACACCTGTTGACCTGATAACTGCTCTCATATCTGGCAAACCAAGGGGCGTCCAAAACGGCCGTGTGGGGGTGCCTTAAAAGCGCCTACCTTCTCTGGTCCAAACAAATCCAGAGCATTCAGGAGCAGAATCTAAAGTTAGAAGGAGGACATACTGGCTGCTGCATTGTTGTCAGAGAAGCCAGCACTTCAACATAGCATGTTTCCTTAATGATCAGATAGTAAGATACCTTTATCATTCACTGATTGGACCTTTTAATGCTTTAAGTTGATTCTTCCAGCTGAGAAATCACAAATCCTCTTCTGTCATTTATTGTTTTTCTCTCTGTGTTTGCTCTTCAGGGTCTGTTCTTCGATGAGGCGTACGGTTTCTACCCGGGTCAGGTCCTGATCGGACCAGCCAAAGTCTTCTCTAATGTACAGTGGCTGTCAGGGGTCAAACCTGTCCTCAGCAGGAAGTGCAAGTTCAGGTTGGTGGTTGAAGAGGTAAGACGATGATCACCTTTGAGTGCTGTAGAGAATGTTTGATTCATAATAAACAGTTGTTTTCTTAATGTAGCTTTAATTTGGAAGAGTTTAAGACCCGTTGTTGGTCTTAATTTTATTTATTTGGTCATTTAGGCGATAAAGGTTTCATCACTTTGTTCTGAGGTGCAGAGAGAAATGTTTTCTCTCTGAAGCCGGACGTACTCTGAAACATTTCAGGACCATTAAGACCACATTTTTAGTCTTACTTTTGAAGTTAGACTGAATCTAACCCCGATGCCGTGTAGTTGGTCGTGCAGTTTACACAAGAATCAGAATCATTCATAATTCCCAGGGGGGGGAAATTCAGTAAATCGGTCGATGAACGCCCGACCAGCTGCTCTCGACCTGACAGACAATGTTTTTCTTTTGCATGTTTGGAATTCGGTCGTACAACTGCACACACTCACCGTTACTTTAGTACACTATTTGTGTCTGCTCACACCGACAGACAGCATCCAAAATCACCATGGCAACAGCAGACTTACCTGTTTGATCTGTGCTAGTTAACCCGCTGTGTTTATTGATGATACTGAGCATGTGTGAGATAAAACTGAAGACTCATAGATTTGACTTGAACCTTCGTCTTTGGGAGTTTTATTTTGAAAATGTGTAAATGCTCCGTCCCGATTTAACTCGTACAGCTCTCAGTTGGGCCCGACAAACATACAGTGAAAGGTCATAAATCGTGAGCTTTGGTCGTGCGTCATAAACGATGTTCACTGGACTTTACTGAAGAGTCCTGGATTGTATTTCATGGATTGAATAAATGTGGGCTTCATGTAATGAAATGTTCTCTTTGTCTCCTCAGGTCAAAGTGGTGGAGCTGAAGGTGACGTGGATCACTAAGAGCTACTCGCCCAAAGGTTCTGACAGCGTCTATCCCCCTCCCTCCACCATCACGCAGGAAAACCTCTGCAGGTCAGTGTCCTCTGAACATCCTCACGGGGTCATGAACGCCTCTTTAAATTTCCTGTTTCCATCTTTCTGTGGGTGAGGTCAGAGGTCGTCTGAGTGATTCTGTGTCTGTGCTGCTTGTGTTCAGGGTGAGGCGTCTCGGATACTACGACCACACCCAGAGGCAGCTGGGAGAGCGGGCTCTTTATATTTTCCCTGCCAAGGGGGACGCCACGCGCATCACCTGTGAAGGACCCGAGGGGGCCCCGGTCCTGCCTGAGGACCCCGTGGCAAGAAAGGTGTGAATGAATTGTCTACACACATACTCGAAAATCTGGAATATGAGTCTCAGTCTGTTTTAAAGGTTAAACGGTCGTCCTGCGGGATGATTTCTGTGACGCTGTGTCGCTCTTTTACTGCCGTCTGTTTTCACCATGTGGCGAGCTCTCGGCCTACTGTGAAAGTTCTGAAGTCCAGGCAGCCCGAGAGTCACGCTGCTCATCTCCTCTGGTAAAACGAGGAGTCAGTCACTTTTTCAAAAAATCAACTTTGAACAAACTTAGACTATTTAAACCTAAAAGTCTTTCAACCTGATCAGGATCGAGTGCAGCTCTCTTTTTATTCTCACATTTTATTTACCTGCTGATGATAAAACCTGCTCAGAGCGCACAGACGCTCCTGGTACACACTAATATCTGCGAGCCAGCTTGGAGAGTTGCACGTTTGTAGTGACAGTCCCGTGTCTCTGCAGAGAGACGAGTCTGCGTCTCCTGAATCGCGCCCCGCTTGCCCACTGACATCGCTGTCTTCATTCACTGAGGTCAAGAGTGCATGAAATGGTCAACTCACGCTGGGAGCGCCCCCTGCTGGATCAAACCGTAAACTCCTTCAGATTCACTGATAGACTTTATATTTTGAATTCCAACGCCTCGTCACAGTTTGCATGAATGTTCAAACTTTGAATATAAAATGACAGCCCGAGTCCATCTGGGCATCTGATTAGGATCCTCCTGGACGCCTCCCTTTGGAGGTTTTCCGGGCACGCCCAACTTGGAAGAGACCCAGGGGAAGCTGGAAGTCTGGGTTGACTTACTTTTACTTTTACTTGGCATCTTTTAAATCACTTCTTAAAACTCACTTCTAAAGACTTGCTTTTATGTGATTTCTCCTTTAAAGATCTATCACTTCCTTTTATTAATTTTATTGCTCTTAACCTTTTTATCTTTCTCTTCTTTAAATGTTTTATCCTTTAAATGTATCCCTTCCTGTATTCATTTTACTGCTCTTAGTCTTTTTTAATTCCTTCTCCTTTTATCGTTTAACGCTTCAGCTCTCTGTTGCTTTATTCATTTAACCAATGTCCCGTTTATTCATTCTTTTTATCTTCATTCTGTGTTTCTGTGCTTCAGCCTGTGATGTGATGTCCTCCCACTCTCCCTCAATTTTAATTTTGTTCTCTCCTGGTTGATTTTAAACTAATTTCGTTCACTGTACTGAACTGCCTCTCCATACCTGCCTGTTGACTCCATATTATTCCTGTTATTTGCATTTTTATAATTTTGCCCTCTCTGTTGACCTCTGTTCTGTTGTTGTTTTGCTGTATTTGTTACTACTGCCCCTGCTGCAACCGCGACCCAACCTTGATAAGAGGAAGAAAATGGATGGAGCGCTCCACCATGTTTATTTACTGAACAGCATACCACTGTTTACTTCAAATGCATGATTTTGAGGTCATGAGGTCACGTGCAGTGAGTGATGACGAGGGCTGCACTC